AGCAAACATCGGTCATTTGTCCAATATGAAGTTGAGGATGGCTGTCGTAGTTGTTAGCTGGATCATAGCGAAACGCTTCCCCTTCCATGAATGTCCAATGTACTGCTCTTGAGGCTGCCTGTCGTCTACGTTGATCTTCACTCCGAGTTCGTCTCTGCTCCGGAGTCTCGACTGCTCTTGAGGCTGCTTGTCTTGCACGTTGATCGTCAATTCGAGTCCGTGTCTGCTCTGGACTCTCGGCGTCTCTTGAAGCCGCTTGTCTTGAACGTTGATCATCAAGCCGAGTTTGTCTGCGCTCTAGAACTCTCAGCATCTCTTGAGGCTGCCATTCTATTCGCAGCTGACGTACTTCTACCCAGCAGAGTTCTTCGTTTTGGTGGCATTTTTTACTATTAAGAAGTTATTATTAGAAAAAAATGAACATATTAAGTAGAAAATAAAGTTTAAGATTTTCTTTCAAATTCCCGAATATGTTAATGAAGATTCTGATTATTGCGTATTGAATTAATCATTTCAGAATTGTTGAAATATCTTGACAAGATCTGCTCAAGATTTATCACGACAGATTCTGATACAAAACTTGTGGAAAATCTGCAGCATTGCCTTCCATTCAGAATCTTGACAGATTTCGATAAATCTGCACAAGTTCTTGAAAGATCTGGGGCGAAACTTGAGAAATCTTTAAAGATTTATCAAGATCTGCATTCAAGATTTTTCTCCTGGGAACCAAAACCTGTGTATAATGATTGATTGATCATCCACGTTTATTTGTAAGTTAAAAATTAAACGACGTCATACTTATAGAATTTTGAATAGTATTTCATACTACATATTAATGTAGCCCATTTAATTAAAAAATTAAACTTTATTCAAACAAAAAGCAGAGGGTGCAATGTGCTGGTCGTTTATCTTGAATGTATTCAGAGGTTTTTCTTTGCCATAAACATGCAAAACTAAATTAGATAAGACACATTGCATCAGTAGATGACAGAATTGCGAAGATGGTAAGGTGCGCGCAATGCAAAGGTTGAGTACTATTTTATTTTTTGGTTTTTTTATTTTCGCTTTTTCACTGGAATATATTGGTAATGTTCACGCCCCCTTGTAGCCATTCGTAAGTCGACTGCAGTGGATGAAAAAGCGTTATAGACAGCCGGGAGATATCTTATTTTGCTCAGAAGTCTCTGCTCTATAAAGCTATGTGGTTTGCAAAACTTTCTGACTAAAAGCCAAATACTTGGTTTTCTAGCGGTCAGGTTT